CACGAGATTGAAAGGTTTCACAAGGAACAAGAAGGCGCAGAGGGCCACATCAAGGCACTTGAGAAGGAGTACGAATTCATCGCCAACGACTCAGAGCTTTTCGGTCGGCCCGGCACAGTGTACGACTTCAAGGGGGTAAACATGTCGGACGCAAAGGCCCGGCGCAAATCGCTGGAAGAGCGGTTCCAGCAAAAGAAGAACAAGATCAATCCCAAAGTCATGGCCATGATTGACAGCGTGGAGAAGAAGGAAGCCAGTCTCAAGAAGAACATGTCGACGGTTGTTCGAGACAAGTCCAAGATTGAAGAAACCATTGTCAAGCTCGACGAGTACAAAAAAGAGGCGCTGCACAAGACATGGTCAATTGTCAACCGCGACTTTGGACAAATCTTCAACGAGCTCTTGCCAGGCAGTTTTGCAAAGCTTGATCCTCCCGAAGGCAAGACAATCTCGGACGGACTGGAGGTCAAGGTGATGCTTGGCAAGGTGTGGAAACAGTCGTTGACCGAGTTGAGTGGTGGTCAAAGGTAGGGACGGGATTGGTTGTTGCGCTTACCCGAAGTACACTAACATTGGCTAGATCTCTCATCGCGCTCTCGCTTATCATGGCCCTCCTTCAGTTCAAGCCTGCGCCAATGTACATCCTGGACGAGGTTGACGCGGCGCTTGATCTGTCGCATACACAAAACATTGGCCGGCTGTTCAAGACCAGGTTCAAGGGCTCGCAGTTCATCGTCGTCAGCCTGAAGGACGGCATGTTCCAGAATGCGAATCGTATTTTCCGCACGCGCTTTGTTGACGGCACGAGCGTGGTGCAGGCAACATCCGGGTCGTCAGGATAAGGCGGGAGTAGAGTATCACGTGTAACGAGACATGGCTTGATACGATACCCAGGGCACACGGTTTGAATTACTTGTTTGGATAGTTGTTTGTATATGCGGGCATAGGGATGGTGTTAGTGGAGTCTAGTTTGGGGCACTAGTGGCCCGGTTGGGAAGTTGGGTATGCACCAGCCCGGCATGACTGGCCGCTTCCCTGTTAAGATCTCTTGTCGCCTGTTTCTCCTTCCCCATATGGCAAACCAAGATGCGTGTTGATGAACATCCATGGCCATAGCAGCATGCTGTTTTCTACTATGACCCGCCACCTATCTCCATTACACCCTCTTTCGCAATACACCTATTGATAAGCTCCAACCCAGCATATTGTTAGTAAACTACCTCGATGCACGACTGACCTGGTGCCGACGCGCCAACTCTCCCCTCAACGCAGGCAGCAATTGCTAGCCCGCCCATGTTATCGGCGCCTACACCTGAACCCCACGCACCCGACATCACTGCGGCATACTCGGCTACTGCTCCAGACAGCCCCGGTCAGGATGCTTTGCCTGCCAGCGACGCCCAAGATTCATCACTGCAAATCTGGCGCAAGGCTCCCACCAGGCACTACACCACATTGCAAGAGCATGCCGACCAGACCTTGGGAACAGAAACATCCGGACAGGACGGTGGTGCTGCCTCAAGGCACGACGCCAGGCGCGAAGGTTTCAGTTGGGGTCAACAACCACATACCGGACGCCACAGGCACAGTCAGCACGCAATGACAACAGAGCCCGACCGGCCAAGGTCGCCTCCATCCTTTGAAGAGATCATGAGACGAACTCACATTGATGATGCTAACGTCATTCAAAACAATAAACTTCGCCATGTTAACAGTATGGAGTCGGCCGGGCCGACCACCATTGGTCTAGTCGAGTCTTTTTCCAGCAACGAGAGTGACTACAATGCTCAAGACCACCGCAGGTCTTCAATCATGGCCTTTGCAAAGGGAATGGCAAGACATGTGCCAGACTTTAGGATACTGTACCCTCTACAACACAAAGAAGATGAGCAAAGGCGAGATTCGAGTGAAGATGCCATTCCGAAGCTACAGAAGAAAGACACCAGCCTATTCTTCGCCCACCAACCGTCTATCAATTCAAACAGTGGCAATGAGAAGTTCTCAAACTTGACCGTTGTCATTGACGAACAATCAAGAGGGGTCGAAAAGCCCACTAAACCAGCAAATACACAGCCAGCAGCAAACAGTGGGCTCCGGGCCCGCCGAAAAGTCGACCTCGACTTATCGATGCCGAAAATCGTGCCAGATCTACCGGCTCGCAGCCGTTATCCGGTCGACATGCCGGGCAATCTGGCTGCCCCTCGTCCACGCAGTCCTAAAACACCATGGATTCGCAACGAGCAGCCAAGATGGGAATCGGACCGGAGAGCCAAGTCCTCACCAATCGAAGAGGAAGATGACATGGGCGATAATATCACAACGTTGAACAATGACAACCACCGTGGCAAGGGCCTTTTGCCTGGTAACGACATATTGGACTCCTTGCAGCCACCAACACACGAACGACCGCCAGCGAAGGTGAGGCACCGGCATTGCATTAGTCTTCCGCTCCCGAAGAGATCAAGAAGTGGTACAAATACAAGCGATTTAGATGTAGTTCAGGCGCCGGGTGAAGGGTTAGCGCTGGCTGATGAAAGAATACAAGCCCGCACAACGACAGACTTACAGCAAGTGGCTCAAGACTCGATGAAATCCCGAATGCGTCGGTGGAGGGAGAGATACATGACGTCTAGTGAGGACACAGCTCCGGCTTCTGCAACAGAAGCTTCTAAACGTCGTCTATCCATGAACCCTTTCAAACGCTCGAGTCGCCTTTCCGATCAAGCCGCCCTAGAACTGTCAGACGAAAAGACAACTTCGACCGATCCTACAAGCCACAATAAGGAACGCCAATACTCATCGCCGTCGCTGGCACACATCCCAGTTCCACCCGCATTCATACCACCCGGTTTAAGTCGCGTGCCAACACCACCCCTGTACGATGCCAACGGCGAAGTCAAAGGCAAACTAGCAGATTTTCTCTTCGACTTCCAAAGCGGCAGTGCGAAAGGCACCCGTAAAAAGCCACTCTCCGGCTCCGAAGGCTACTGGGACTCTGACGCCCTCTTAATGAGCCTATCCACCGGCATCACCAAAAAAGAAGACGACGAAGACGACGAAGGCCCAGAAGGCCCCCTCCGTAACGCTCTCCGCTCCCGCTCCATCTTCGACAGAACAACCAACCACAACCATCACCGTACCCACAGCACCCACGGCTTCCTAGGCGTAAAACCCCCACTAAGCCCCTCGCTCGCTGCCAACTCACCCATGCTTGGCCACGACGGCTGGTACCGCATCAACCACGAAGACGACGCTGATTTGCGCGACTCGTACACTGTGGCTGCGTTGGCACGCCAGGAGGAAGAGGAGCGCAGGAAATTCGAGTGGTTGGTTCCTGAGCATCTCCCTAACAGCCCCTTGTGCCCGCTGCACGACAAGTATGTGGGGCCCAGTCAAGGCTTGTGCTACTGGCATGGACGGAGGAGTGGGGCGGAGATTAGAGAGGGTGAGTATGCGAGGCCGGAGAGTTGGAGTCGCGGTAGTGCGGCGGAAGGGGATTACATGGGTGCGGGGGGTGGGAGTGCCGTGGGAGATGGGATGAAGTTGTCACCCGGGCTTCCGACGCCAGTGGCGAAGGAGACGAAGAGGAGAAGGCTAGTTAGTTTGTCGAGTCCTTGATTGTATATATCCTTTTTTTTCTTTTAGAGTTTTTGGGTTATTCCAAAGTGTGAAATATTTAATTTTATTTCGTTTGATGTGTCAACAAAGTTCTACTGCCATACTCCGTCTATTGCCTTTGCTCCCACTGTGCTCACATTCAAAAACTTCGTTGCAAAAAATGTCCACGCCATGCTGAGTTTTGGTTTCTTCCTTCTTCTCTTAATCCTCAGGCTCGGTGTCTGCTCTCCATGTAGGCGTCTTGCCTGCCTCCTTCCACATCTGTTTCCTCTCGCGGAATATTTGCTTTGCCCAGGCCATGACTTCATCACTCTGGATGCGTCCTGCGACCCACGTGAACTCGCCCAGGTCCTTTTCGCATTGATACTTGCGCTCGTACTCGACCATCTGGACCAAGAGTTCAATCTTGTCGACATCATGGACAAAGTGCGACTCTGGTGTCTTGCTGTCTTCGTACTCTTGCCAGATTGCGCGGACATCTTGTCCGTTCATGCCGCCATTGAACTTGCCCAGTAGGTTGGTACAGATGTAATCCATAGTCTCTGTCTCCCTGCGGCTCTTCTCTTCCTTACTGACGTCATCCACGGGCGTGATGTCACCGACGAGCGACTCGGCCATGTCGTGGATGACGGCCATGCGACAGCACTTTAGAATGTCGAGTTTGGAGCTGAGAGACGAGGGAGCCATCATGGTAAGAATGCTCATGCGGTACATGTGGTCAGCGATGGACTCGCAGTCTGAGATGCCGAAGCGGCGCCAGCCCGCTCGCTTTGTTGTCTTGAGGCGCTCGAGCAGGTGGAAGAAGGGAACGGGCGAGTCAGTGTGTTCGGCGTTGCGGGGCTTGATGTCTGCGAGTACTGCAGGGACAGGTTAGCAGGACAATTGTGATAGTGATACTATACAAGGGCAAAGAGAGGTTTCGCATACGGACGAGCCATTGCTTGATTCATGACATACCGCTCTCGACTGTCCACTGTTGCTTTTGCGCATCCTTTGCTTCGAGTTTGCCGGCGCTGGGCTCGGGAACACCATTGGTTTGGGTTGATCCGTCGGCAGTCATAATGGCGATGTACTGATTCTACTGACTCAAGTTATGATACCTCTATAGAGACACAAGATGTATAAGTATGCGTGGGGGGAGCCGAGACAAAGCGTTTGGCCAGTGACGAGAAAGCGGTCGACAACGAACAAGGGTCAAACCAGGATCAGGAAAGCGCGAACGCGACTATCGATAGGGCCCGGCTTGGCAAACAGTGCAGGGGCCTGCCACACCGCAACACCAACGCATGCATACTTACACATCATCAGCCAGCGCTCATAACTCTGCCTCTTTCTCTCTTCCAAGTCTCGGTTGCGCGCATGTCTCTTTTGCGACTGCAAGCATGTCTCGTACTACCTCGGCTTCCTCTACGACCACCACGGCTACCACGACCAGCGGCCACGTGCGGACTGTATCCGTCAAAGCAAGCAATGTGAAACCGCAGCAATTGAACCCCATGCCAGCGTCTGATATCAGGCTCTTTGTGACCAATTTGCGATTGCTAGACTTTGATTTGCGAGACGACTGGCCGGATATTACTGTGCAAACATTCTCGGCCAAGAATGCGGATCAGCGGCAGAGAATCGCTGGAACCGAATGGGCCCTGTTCCGCTTATTTGAGATCTGGGATCCCAGCGAGACAGCGCAGGTATACTTGGACTGGTGGCGCATGTGGATTCTGCATCTGACATGATCACAGAAGCTACAACCGTTCTTTCCACCCCTCGAACCACTCCAGTCGCTGAACCTCCGCGCCGCGCTCTTCCGATGCTTGAACGAGTTGAAGAAGAATGGTGTACTTGGGAGAGAGTCTGTTCTCAGGAAGACGATGCTGGATGAGTGCAAGGGCGACAAGTTTTACGAGATCATTGCGATATTCTCAAATGTCACATTGAAGAAGGTGCTTGCAGCGCAGGACGGAGGTCGTCGGGATGAGGCGGTCGCAAGAAGGCTAGCGACGGCACCAATGCTTCCGATTGATCAGCAACAGTCACTACTCCCATTGGCGATTGCGCACCGTGCAGCATTAGTCAATGTGTTGAAGAAGAAGGAAGAAAAGAGGAGAAGATACATGGAGTTTGAAGCAATGCTGGATAAGAAGGCAGAGGATATCAATCGCCGTATACGAAAGTGCACAGATATTCCTCAGGCACAAAAGCCTGCTGTATCTCAGAAGGAGGCAGATGCTGTCAAGAGGCAGCTCAAAGACAACTGGATAGGCAATCAGAAGTGGCTCAATGTCATGCTCCATGGCGAGGAAACTCATACAGGAGATGCCTTCCTCAACACCCGGTTCGACAAGGTCTGGTACATGGTAGAGAAAGGACGAAAGCTTGAAGATGTCGCGCCAGAGACCGGACTGCTGGAGAACCTACAATCAAGAGTACACGAGCAGCAGGAGCGGTTGCAGAAATGGAAGGACTTCCATGAAGAGTTGCAGAACGATGCCTCTGGAAGAGAGAACCGGGTCAATTCAAGGCGTGTGGCGCCGATCAGGGAACTCAAGTTTGACGCCCATTCCCAATACCAGCTGCCGCCTTCGAAGCAGACAGTGGAGCAAACATCGATTAAACGGCCAGCAATGCGAGTGGAATATCGTGACATCTTGTCAGATATGGATGTGGAATTGGAACACGCCGGCAAGATTCGAGCAGGCCCTGTATCCACTATTCTACCGCGACGACGTACCTCGCCTGCAAAAGAAGTGAAAGAAGTAAAAGAAGTGCAATCACCGGTCCCGGTCCCGAAGAGAAAACCGACCCTGCCTGAGCCGGTACCTGCGTCGCCGACCAGCCCAGTGGTCCCGCCAAAACCCAAACATCTTGCCAGACCCAATTCTCTGCAGAAAGTACCTACGCTGCCGAAGCCGTCAGACCACGTGGCGGCGGTGTCTACACCGATTGATTCAGAGGCAACGCTGGTTGGCCAAGCTTCTGCGCTTCGTAGCTCACCACCAGCAGCTCGTCATGCCGGGTCGCCGATACGAAAGTCTCCACCACCTACACCACCTAAGAAGAGTGGAATACTCAAGGCCCAGAGCCCCAGAGCCACCGTAACTCTCACAGTCCAGCAAGCATCACCCTCGCCAAATGAGTGTGGCTCAAACCCACTATCAGACTACCCATCCAAACCCCCAGTCCCAACCTTTGAACCCCCTATCCTCGATCCCGAGGAAGCAATAGCGGACCAAATCATAAACTCAATCGGCAACGCTACCCCATCCCCCGTCAAAAAACCCCAACCCCGCATGTCCCTCTCCCTCCTCGAACGCACCCGCCTAACCATGTCCCACGCAAATCCCTCGGAACAAACCCTCGAATCCCCCATCCCCTTACCCTCCATGGCACCACCCCCTCTCCCCGCCACCCACGCCAACCCCGCTGCGGACCTCCTCGAGCGCACGCGTCTCAGCATGGTAGCATCGCAATCCCTACCCCGCCGCGCGCCCTCGGTGCCCCAGCGCAAACCCAGCAGCGGTGGCGGCCGCCAGAGTCTGTACCCTACAACCCAATTCGACACGCCGCCGCGGAACCGGCAGTCCTCTGCTGAGATGCTGCGCCATGGCACTGTGGAACTGGTGGATGCTGGAGAGGGAAGTCCCGGTCTGGAACGCACGCCTACGGAGCAGTTGTTTAGCGATGAAGTGGATTATGATCGTGTGTTCAAGTCGAGGCCGTTGATTGCAACGAGTCCGGTTTGGAGTCCAGGGGGTGCCGAGGATGATGATGATGATCCCGATGGTGTTACGGGGATTGATTTGAGGGATGTGGATCAGGATGATGATGAGGATGGAGAGGAAGGGGGTTATGGCGGTAGTTGGATGGATAGTCCTAGTCATAAGAGGAGGGTGAGGTGTTGACCGTGATATTGTTTGTTGATTGTTTGTTGGTATTGTAAGTAAGTTTTTATGAAATTTCTTTTTTTGCGGTAGAGTAGCAAGAGAGAAAAAAATAGACGTTGTGTGGATTTTGCAAAGTCTAGATGGGAAAAATGTAGAAAAGGGGAAATGAAAAGGAAGAAAACGCCGTGCAATGCTTTATCCATCCCCATTCCACTTCCAAAAAAGACGCCTTTATCACAACAAACGCCTGGTCAAGTTGCACTTTACAACTTTTGCATTTCCCTCTCTTCACTCCTCCGCCCCTTGTCCATTCGAAACCCCACCTCAGTCCTCGCATCATCCGTCAGCCTACCCCACTCAATCAAGAGGCGAAACATGTAAATCTCCATGTCCTCTTTCCTAAGCACCTTCTCCGTCCACACCTTGCCGTCTCGTGCAATCTTCTCGGCAGCCTTGATATGCCCCTCCATCATACGCTTGTTGCGTTCCTCGACGCCATAACCACCAAAGTACGCAAGGCTAGAAAACAAGTCGTGCAGACGAATGTCGACTGGGACAAAATGTTTCCAGGCGGTAAGACGACCCTCGTACCATTCGCGAAAGAGGGCGGCTTTGAAGACGACCGAGTTTGATTGGAGAAAGGGGATGAAGCGGGTTGAGAAGGCGGCGCCGTCTGTGTCGAAGAGATAGCGGTAGCGCCAGTGTTGCCGAAGCTCAATGGGGTCCGCAAATCCAAACTCGCGCGTCTGGTCGATGCAGTCTAGGCCGGCACAACGCGCAATTGGGCCAATCAGACGGACATCTGTCTTGGTCTCAAGAAGCCTCTTGATGTCGCTTGTGCGCTTGAGCATGTACTCGAAATGACCGCTGTGGTCAGTCTTTGGCAAGAGAATGGGCTCCCGTGAGGTTTCATTGTTCAAGAGATGTACAAGTCGCTGGCGAAGCATGCCTTTCCAAGTTCCGTACGTAGTCGCACCTTCGGTAGTTGTGCCGCGCCAGAAAAGGACATCCAACTTGTCTACAAAACGGGGGTCAGGAGACTTTTCGTCGAATCCGTACTTGTTCTTATCCGTGTAATACCGGGGCGATGGGTACCGAATGTCGACAAACCCGGGAGCACGGCTTTGGCTGAATATGGGCACAATATCGTGAGTGCCCATCAGGTTTGACGGGCTAAGGTGCATGCCATGGAGATTGGCAAGATCAGGCTGGTGGCAGGGATCAGCTGACAGAGTCCAATTGGATACAAAAGCACCAAGAGAATGGTCCTGTGTGCAGGTATGACAAAATGTTTTCGTGTTCCAATGGCGCTCTTTCCGGGCTCGTGAGTCGGGCGGACAGGCAATGGAGCCATACGTTTCGAATACAGGCTTTGTTTGAACGTTTTCGAAAAAGTGTGGATCGGTCCTAACGCGGTCGATGTGTAGCCATTTATCTGCGCGGTCCGCACTGAAGCCTTTGGCTGAGCGGGTCGAATCAGACACAGGGTAAGGCTGTGGATTATCCAGCGCGTCCTGCAGTCGCTCATGGGGAACCGCCACGCGACTCTCATCCTGTAGGTTTATGGCCAGGTCCATATCTGGAAGAAACTCGGCAAACTTCTGGATCATGGCGGCCACACTGTCCATTGTCTCTCGATGGGCTTCTTCAACATTTTCAAAAACCTCTGCGTTTCCATCTCGTATGCGGATCCCACCCACGGCTTGGCGGGTGGCCAAGACAGTCGCCGTGCGCAACCGCAAGTCGTCAGGGTTGAAGGAGGAAAAGGGCGCCAAGTCTTGCTCGATGTTGTCGTAGTCATCAATGACGATTGAATTGCGGCTGACGGCAAAATTGTACCACTTGTCGAAATTGGGCGGTGGGTCACGATTATAGCGTTGGCGGTAATGTACTACAGCCTCGGCCAATGAGTTACTCCGATGTGCTTGCGAAGCCCACTTGTCATGTTGCACGGAAGCTATGTCGATTAGAGTAGTGATGGGGTGTTCGAGCAGAGGACCTTGTCGGCGGTATATGACGACGCCTATGGAGAAGGCGATGAGGAGGACAATAAATGTGGCTGATTGGTTTCTACCAAGCCGAAATGGGACCTTTGACCGAATGCGGGTTTCGATGTTGGTATCTGTTAGGAGATGAATGATGAGTGCAATGGTAAGCAACGTAAAACACAAGACTAGTCCAACCGTGGACTTTGGTGGAAACGAATAGGACACGCCGGTCCCCAGTGCACGAAGAACGCCAATATATGCAGAAGAAAATGCAACAGTGAGCACCGAGCTCATAACGCCATACAATCGAGCCTGTGTGAGGTGAGCGGGGATTCACAGTGTGGGGAAAGGAGGGATGACGACGTACAGATTTTACAAAACATAACGTCGTAAAGGGTATCATCAACGATAAACGGAAAAGACCAAGGAGATAGTCGGAAGAAAACGAAAGCATCCACTCGCGATGCTCGGGCATTGCGGGGTAGATGATAATGCCGGCGACAACAAGAACTAGGGAGGAGGCCTGGTATGGTTAGCAAATGGGGTAGGTGGAGAGTTGCCAGACACGGCCTACAATAAAAGTCATTCCGACCAGGACATTGTTGGAGGTGCCGTCTTGGAGGAGGATAGACCAGTCGTCGGGCTCCGAGACGCCATCGTCGACTAGGCGGTAGAGTACCTGAAGGATCAGGCAGTCAAGCAAGAAGCCGACGAACTGCAGGGAAGGAACGGCCGTGGCATCGGAGTTTGCAATGGGGCAGATGTATGAGGAGCGCAGGGTAGTCGACTTGATGCTGACGAGGAAGGTACTAATGGCGAGCAGGAGCGAGGGAATGATGTAGCGCGTAGAGCCATTGAAGACGAAGCTAAAGACGCGGTCGAGGGGTGAGCGCATGCGGGTGTCAGCACTCCAGGCGGGGTACTGGCGCTGGCTGGGATGGCGCAGGCTGTGGTAGAGAGCGACGACGAGGGGGAGAAATGCCTGGGCTGGTTTAGTATGGGGGGGGGGGAGTGGGGAGGAGACGGGAGGAGATGCGCACCAAAGGAGAAGGGCCGGTGCACTCGACGTGCGTGGTGACGCGGTAGAAGATGGCGATGCGACCGCATATGGCGAACAGCAGCACAGCCAGCAGAGCGCCAACAGCCCTCAGGCCCCATGGTCTGCGGGGGGCATGGAGTCCGGCCTCTGTCCAGATCTCCTCGCCAGGGTGTCTGGACTGGACGTTGTTGAGGGCGAATGCGACATAGGTGGTGGTTGACAGGGGCTGATGCTGATGCTGGTGGTGAGGGTGAGGGTGAGGGTGAGGGTGAGGGTGAGGGTGAGGGTGAGGGTGAGGATGGTGATGATGAGGGCGGCGGCGGGAGGACCAGGCTTCGACGGCGACGAGGGCAAGGCCGGTGAGAAGCAGGACGAGGGCGGTGGTGTGCAGCGGCTTGTCGAGGGCAAAGGAGTAGTCGACGGGGGCTGGGGTGGTCAGGTAGGCGGATGCTAGGACGAGGCCGCTGTGGTGTCTGTCAGTATGCGTGCATGTGGGTAGTCGAGTAGTGTGTAGTCGAGGGCAGAGAGGCATGCGTCGCGCTTACCACGGGAAGAAGAGGGCCCTCCTGTCCATGACGACGGCATTCTTCGTGCTGGCTTGGGGCGAGGATTGCGATGCGACGCAGAGGGCGTGGGCGAAGGGAGAATTGGAGGTTTGGAGACTTGTGCCTGTCAGTCAGTCTTGGTCTCACCCTCTGCCTCTCGCTCTCGCTCTCTTGTCAGGCACACGCACACGCACGGCTGCTCGGCACCTGCATGCCCGTGCCCGCTGCCCCGGGCTCGTCCTACGCAGTAAGTGCACGCAGTAGTGTACACGCAGTACACGCAGTATACGAACCATACGTTCCCCCAATACGCAGCTGTCCAGCTCCACTACCACGCTGTTTTACCATTGGCATCCACACACACACACACACGGACACGCATCGATTCGTCGCCCCGTCTTTTGTCGCTGGCCATGACGACAACCCGCGGCCCAAGGCATGCGCATCCACCTCTCCGTCTTCACCCTCGCACCCGCATGCATGCGAACAAAGACGGCCAACCCGGCCGCTGCTGACAGGCTCTAAATTGAGGCTATGCTTCCCTTGCACCAAACCAACCCATTGTCACATAGCCATAGCTGCAGGAATGGCATACGCGCCAGCCTCACGCAGCCGTCGCCGCCAATGCCATCATGGCTGCCGTGAGTGCCATGATGGTGCTGCTGTGGGTAGTGTACTTACTGTACGCGGGGCCGCCTAGTGGTTGCGGGGCCGCCTAGTGGTTGCGGGGCCGCGCTGCCTTTGAGGCGCTGCAACTGTCCCTTCGATCCTCCATTCTCACCCCTCAACCCTCAACCCCCAACCCTCAGTCCTCGGCCACCCCTGGTCCCGTCATGTCAGCAAACATTGGCATCATTCTGACCCGTTCCACGCAGTCATGACTCCATTGTTTCATCGTGATATGTGCTACTCTACTATAAACACCCTTCTCAACTCACTCCCGCGACCTGTTCACACCCCTGTCAATTTCCCATTATGCACAGCCACCACAGCTCCCAGCACCCACCATCTAAACCACCTATGACTTCGTCTCGCCGTCAACGTGCTCGGTATGGTCCGGCGACACGGCCTTGTCACCGTGCACAATTTGGTTCTCTGGATCATTGGCATGCGCGTTGGTGATGCCAATCTCGGTTGTCGAGAACGAGTCGACGACCTTGGTGTACGCCGGCACGAAGTTGACGCAGATAGCATACGTCGATGCGGCAACGAAAAATGCCAGCGGTACCGTCATGGCAGTTGCAGTCGGCGCATACCCGTCAAGCGGCCTCGGCTTGCCCAGGGAGTCGCTGGCTGCAAAGAGTAGAGGCGGCACCACCGCACCGCCAGCAACACCCCCGACAATGAAGCCCGATCCTCGTTTTGAATACTTGCCCAGTCCACGCATGCCCAGCGCCACAATCGTCGGGAAAATGATGCTCTCGAAGAAGAGCACGACGTACAGCA